ATGGCTTTTCAACACATTTTTTAATTTAAAAAATCTCAATCATAAATTAAAAAATTCATACATACATTCAATTAAATATAATAAAATTTATTTGTTTTAATAAATATAAAAATAATTATTAATTATAATTAAAACTAAATAAAAAAATTCAAAAAATAAATATAGATCGATATCAATAAGAATTTCACAAAACTTGGCTGCTTAGAGATTTCAATTTGTTTTGAGAGCCCAGCATTAATTATCGGATTCCAAGTCGAAGAACCTATATATATTAATAAATTGGATGAGAATTCTCAAAACAGCATCGTTGTAAATTTTGATGTTAAAATAAAAAATAAAAAATAGTAGCTTCATCGAAAGTCCGAGCTTTGAGCACATATATAAATCACGTGGCCAAGACAACAATTTGGCGTGTAGTATTCATAACCGATCCATGATGTGAGTTTTCCTCATCTTCCACAAGAAGGGCTTATTCACATTTAACATGCGAGGGAAAAAAAACAGAGTGCCTCAGAAAAATTAGGTGTTCCTCGTGTGATGTAAAGCAAACACTCGGCATCAATTATTTGACGTCCTTTTCCATCTTTCCCATCTATACAAGGCACTGCAAAAACAGAGGAAATGTGGCTTGGTGTTGTACCCAAAACTCTTAATTTGGGAAAAGAGTTTGTTTCTGTGGTTAAGGGCTGGTGCTCTTTAGATGCAAACTCTTGAGAAGCTAGTCCGATTGTCATCATCGCAAGACCTAACTCTTGTTTGTTCCTCTTTAAAATAATAATCCAAGTCTTTTCTGGTGAAAGCACATGCCGGAATTACCTAGCTAGTCGTGGAGTTTAGGGTTACTAAAGCTATATATTAATGTACAAAGAGTTCAAGTTTCATTATGCAAATGGGAACAACCAAAAACATAGTCAAAGAATAAAATGAACCAAAAAAGAAAGAGGAGAAAAAAAGAAAACAGATCCATTAAGCTTATAGACAGGCAATCTAAGTTCATAGATTTTGCATGGCCGTTTACCATGGAATAAGAGCTCATACACAGGGGGGAGATGGTAGTCATTAACTTCATTGTTTGTAGTAAAAATTAATATCAAATTAATAACGATGATAATATGGAAACAAAACGCAGAAAGGCCACATGCTGGACAAGCAAGGAATTTAGAGAGAGCATGTGAAGACATCCTAGCTTCCGTGGCAAGATAGGCCAGTGTCGTCCGTCAATTTGGCATGGGCATTCATCAAAGTGGGAAAGAATTTATCAACAGCCATGCTGAGATTGGCTAAAAATAGTTTTTATGTAGATTGATGCGTGTCAACTTTCTACTGAAAAATGCTTTCATCTATTTCATCGATAGAGCCACCAGATTACGACCAAAGTGGAGTTATAAATTACATATCGATTTAGAGTTTTAGGCAGAGAATTAACTAATACATAGATAGAAAGTGGATATTAATTACTTCATTTGTGGATAATCTTAATGCATGCATTCGTTGAATGACTTTGTTTTATTTTATGCAATCCTTCCTTCCTTCCTTTCTTTCACAGTCGCTATCTACCAACAGAGGCCGTCTGTTCTTCATTCACTTATCCCATGTTATTGCGTTTCCACCAAGATAGTGGACAATCCCTCTCTCTAATTAAATTGTGTGTTGAATATGTATCTGATACTCGTAAGAAGAAAAAAAAACGAGGTTAACTTGTCTAAATCCTACTAGTTTTAAGGTTACCATATCACTGCAAAAAGTATACTTAGGTGAAAAGGTACGTTTTCTTTAACTTTTTGTGAGTTAGAAGAGATAAACTTATATTTCTCTACGTTAGCTTTAATGCTATTGAGAGTACTATTTGCGCAAAGCTTCATATTAATATGACTTTATATAAGATACATAGAACAAAATTTATTAGTGATCAGGTAATAATGATCTTAAACTTATATAATTTAATCAGTGCTTCATTTACGTGGAAAACATTTTGTTTTGTACCCTGAAGTTTGTGTGTATAACTCATTGTTTATCTGGTAAATGTCTGTGTCTAACATATGAGGTATGGATGATCGCTGTCAAAACTTCATTGTGTCTTTTTATAAGAGAAACGTGTTAACCTTGCATGTTATTTAATCTTTTTATAATTATAATTCAAAAAAACTTTAGATGATTCTTCTTCTGAGAAACCTGCAAAACTAAAATAAAAATAATATATGAAGATAAACCTTAGGCTTGCTTTTCAGAAGAAGATTTCTTCTTTTTATTAACATAAACCACAACTTAGAAGTGGTTAATAAAAATAATTATTATTGTATATTAGAGAATTATAAAATTATATTTTAAAACATTACCTAATAGCTTGAGTTTTTTTGTTGAATTGATTTTTTGATATGATATAGGAGTTTTAATGATCAAGCAGTCACGAATTCAAATCTCATCATCTTTATTTATTTGATAAAAATTAAACATAATATAGTACGAGTCTATATAAATTTAAAACTCAAATGACTTTCATTTGATAAAGTATATTACAGACTAATATAAATTATATCTTAAAACTTCAACTGATTACTTAAATTTTGAGGTTGAATTGATTATTTAATACTATATATGTTGAATTTTTTTCATTACTAGTGCTTATTTAATATCATGTAAGAAGTTTTTAATCTTCATTTAATACTTTGAAAAAGCCTCAGAAGATCTTAAACTTACAAGAAGCCAAAGCCTCAAAATTCAACTCAAACTTTCTAATTTGAAAATTAGTAGTCAAGATAATTGATTTTCAACTCCTTTTATTATAGTAAAAAATTAGAAAAAAGGTTATGTCATAAGATACTTTCATTAATGTCATCAAAGATGATATCTCTATTAAAGCTTTACAAAATAACTTTAAATTCTATTTTATCAAGAGTCATGGAACCTTAATTTACTCAAAAATGATATTTATATTCAAAAATAGCAGAAAACAATCATTTGATTATGACCAAAACTACCCATTTATAGCATTTAAAAGAAAAAATTATTTTAGAAAAATAAAATAAAAACTAGCGCAGCCTCTTACCAAACGAAAAATTCAAAAGAAAATCAAATCATTGACTTTTTCTAGGATATCAATAGTTTCATAGCATAGAAAGCAACATGTAGTACATCTAATATATATAAAAAATAATTTAATAAAGAAACTTATCCCATCCCATCTGAATAAACTTTGAACAAGAAACCTTTATAGAAAAGAAATTCAAGATCTCTTATACAAATTAATAATTAGATAAAGTAGGTTTCCTTATATTTGTGCAACATTTTATACTATGAAAATGTTTTAAAATGTTATTTATTATAAACCTCTTAGTAAGGTTTAAAATGTTTCGGTTACCTATTTGAAACTAAAAGAATTTTCTTCTGCATTTTGCTAAAGCTAAGGTTTTTTTAAAAACTTTTATATCAAATATCAATTTAAAAAAAATATTAAAGAACATAGATACAAAACTATATCCATAGTTCCATTTGGTCAATAGAAATAGAATATAATGCTTGTAATTTGGTCTAAAAAAATACTCCCATACAATTCTAAATGATTAAGAATAATATTTATTCAAAATTTTTCCAAATTCTCATAATTTATAGGGATGATATTTTAATTTTCTCTTCTAATATAAATCAACTTTTCAAACTTCTAGCAATATTACTAGATACCTCTATGAGAAAATGATCTTGTTGTATCTAGATTTAAATTAAGTTTACTCCAAACCAGAGTTTGATCATTCTTTAATTATAATATATATATTCATCAAGTAACAATTATTTCTATATAGAAAAATAAATCCAATTTGTTGTAATTCCAATATTAAATTACAGATAAAGACAATAACATATGAAAAACCTTAACTATGTCATAAATTTGTATCTAAACTATATATACAAACCTTTACATGATAGGTTAAAAAAAACATCTTTCTTGGTCTAATCAATACACATAGTTAAGTCAAAGAACTCTAATGTCTTCACATAGCCTATCCAGAGTTCTTCAAAATAATTAAAATGAAACATTTGAGTTAGGATATGTTGGCATTCTAAAACAATTACATATTTAAGTGACATGAGTAGTTTAGTCATTTTGAATCAAGCATTGAAAAGATGCATAGAAAAACTATTCTATTATCAATTTTAGCCATTATGCTTTTCATTTCAAGTTTCCCTCAATCTAAAAAGACATATAAAAATCTAAAATATGGGCTCAAATGGATTCAAATGAGGATGAAATTTCCTTATCAAAAGCTTCCATTCCAATAAATTCCTCAGCTTCTAGCTCAAACTCACCAAAAAATACCCAAACACTTGTTGACAAAGCTTCTCTAAAGGTTATATCACATGGTAAGAACAATTATTGCCTCAACAATTAATGCCATCATTTACCAAAATAAAAAGAAAAATCCTCATAGCAGGAGAAATAAGTCTTGATATATCAAGCCATGCAATCTTGAGTTTGACAAAGCAGCTTTAGTTGCCACAAAATCCAAAAGAGATGGTATTAAATCAGATGCCCCTCTTCAAACTATTTTCCCAAATAAAGATGTGGTGATTTCAAAAACTCCTCAAAATAATTTTCAAAGACAACAAAACTAAATTTTCAAGAATTTCTGCTAATATATAGAAAGTGGGTTTTATCATAAAAATCCAAGGATTATTTCAACAATTACTTTCCTGCCATGCTATCATTTTAAAACATAGGATTTAGTTTTTTCATTGACAATACACTGATTGAAACATAAAACTCATAAGACCAATCAATTTTTTTAAGTTATTTCAATTGCATGCAGCGGGCTAGCTTTGTCGCCCATTTTACTGTGGATACATTCCATTCCGCTGCTGGCTCTACCATCCAGGAGACTGGCTTTGCTGCCCAAATCAATTGCTTTCTATCTCCATCAATTAAGAAAAAGCTTCTTAGACTATTCATAAATAAGCGGATGCAAAGGTGTGTATATGTAAGATACTGTATACATTCATACATTTGTGTGTGTATTACAAGCCTTTGATGCGTAAGAAGTTTTAGCGTACATAAAATACAACCGAGTGGCAACTATAGACAAACCCTAATAATACTGATCCAAAATAGGATCATTTGGGACATAGCAGAAATGTTCCCATAAACTTAATTAATCGCCATTAAGTAGCTGCATGGACCACAGATCCTCTATGCTCCAATAATTTTCGTTCAGTTCTTGAGGTATATTCGCTCCTGAAAAGGCCTCCACGTCTCCTTGGTAGGATGGCAGATAATTGGACACCATTAATTCGGTTGTGCTGGAAACTTGGCTGCTATTGCTCCCATGTTCATTCGTTTCAGAACTGACCTGTGCAGCAAATGTTTCAGCCTGCTTAATGTGCTTCTGGATTCTAGTTCTCCAGTAATTCTTTATTTCGTTGTCGGTCCTCCCTGGAAGATGCTTTGCAATCTTCGACCACCTGGATGCGCCATGAAATTTTCGAAAAAGATGGAAAAAACGCTTAATTTCCTTCTGGTCAGTCCTCTAATTATCGCATATATGATTTATAATGGTTGTGGAAAATAATTTGAAAACAAAGCTATAAAAATCAACACAAGTGTGAGGAAGAAATTGCCATAAGAACGATTCGAAAATGTCACAAGTAAAAGTAATTCCAAAAGGATGCCATAACTTTGTCATATTCTCTTCCATTTATTGAAAGCTTCTCTTCATCTCGAGCTACTTTCAACTACCATAGTACTTGCTTATTCCTGTAAATATTTTTACTTACGTTTATGCTAAAGAAATTGGAACAAGATAATTCTGAAAGCTAACTTTTTAGATATAAGGCACACTATCTCACATAATCCAGTATAAAAAAAATATAATTTCACGATATACAAAAATATATGAGTCAAGACCACTAATATATCGAGCATATGACAATTTAAGATTATTTGAATGGACCACATGTGGACAACACATTTTTTTAATTAAGGGACTAGACAAAACATCTCGCAATTAATTAAACCATGATAATTCAATATTCCAATCGACTATAATTTTTAAATTAAGTATTATACAATTTTGTATGTAAATAATTACCAGCCCCATGTTTCAGATTTACAGCGTGGCTAATTTTCGAGGTCCGGAGTTATTGTAGGAGGAAATCATTCACCACACGTTCAAAAGTGGCTTTAGTAATCATCAACTTCAATGCTAAAGGCAATTGTAATTCAAAGGCACAAAAACATAATTTATCTGTAATTTGATAATATAGAGATGCCACTTTAATTGAAAAAAATTAAAAGTAAAAACACTTGTTGTTCAAGTCATAAAAAACTATTTAGAATTATTGTTAAATTTGACTTATAGATAAATTTTAAAATTTTTCATTTTAACTTCTTATCTAATCTAGATTTAAAATTAAATTGTCTAAAAATTATTCTGATATAATTCAATTAACTTAGTAAATCTAAAAGCAACTCAAACAAAAGGTAAAATGTGTGGTTTGATTTTTTAAATAAAAATTCAAGAGATTTTTTTTTTAATATTAAGATGTTAACATATTAAATTGATTCAGATTTCACAATTTAACTCATCTAATATTTTATCTGATTGATGGACTTCACTAGGTTTAGAAACTTTATTTTTTTAAAATTATTTATTTAGTTAAATATATAATAATAAAAATAGACGGTTATAAAATTAAACATAAATTAAAAGTTGAGACATTTGTTTGAAATTATAATAATTTTATTAAAAGCAAACTAAAATAATCTATTAAGGTAAATTTAAAATCAAAAAAATATTAAAAAATAAAATTCAAAAAAGAATGACAAAAGTTAAACTAAAAATGAGGGAAATTGCCAGAAAAAAAAAGGAGGAATTAAAAAAAAAACGCCATTTTACTATTTATATGAAGAGTGAAGGAAGCAAATCCCAACTCTTTTAGATATATCAAATAATGCTGCATGTTATTTAGTTTTGAAATTTAAAAACAAATAAATAAAACATTTGAACTTAATTTGTTAATGAAAAGATGATCTTGGTCTTCAAAAGGAAGGTGACGAATTTTAGTCGTTTTTAATACTTTTTAACAAGGAAAGGAAAAAAGAAAAGAAAAAAACTATACACATATGTGTTGATGCTTAAGGATACGAAAGAGTTTTGAGTAGCATATGTATCTACTGCAATTGTATATACAACTACAACTATGATAAAAACATTAAGAAGTTAGAACAATATGGGTGATATCTACGTCAATCAATTCAAAACAACTTCTCTTTCTCTGTAAAGGTAGGCTTTCCATGTGACAACATGGAAATAAAAAACCTTAAAATAGGATAAATGTAAACTTCTGTTGCCAATTTTGTATGAATTTCATTCAAGATGCTCACATGGGTCCACTGCCATTATCAATATCTAGCTGTAATATTGGGTTCTGATAGATTTTTAGAACCCTTTTTAGACTGTTTTGTGGAAAAGATCTTTCTTTGTGTATTATGTTTATGTGGGAGAAAAAGGTTTTTTTTTAGATGTACTCGATAAAATGGCTCACCGAAAGCAGCGTTTTTGAGCCAAAATAAGAATATCAAAATCAAAATTTATACCGAGTGGAGTAGGGATCCGTCATCCTTCTTACGTGCAGCCACAAGCAGGTAGCACGCAATTAGCCGCAATCTCCTTATAGTTTTGGTGGAGGATCGTAGGAGAAATTAGCTGTTTCCCGTTAAAAAATCTATTATGGTTATTATTTTTGGGATTTGATAAATAACGGGGACGCTTCTTCAGACACCTGTGTCTTCTTGACATTAGGTTGCTGATTAATTTGATGATTTGTCATATGTACTAGTTAATGGAGGATAGGTTCATTGAAAACTGATGTGCAGAAAATATTTAAAAAGCAATAAATCTCTTTAGATTCAAATGGTAAAAGTGTAATGAATTGGTGGGTTTTTTTCAGCCATCAAAGATTCAAAAGCTGAAAATGTTGCTTGAAATCAAATTCTTGTCTATGAACAACACAGACCCTGCTGCATTACTGTCTGCATCTTTCTCATCATGCTCGCTAAGACTGCAGTCTGTACGAATAGGGACTTTAAGAACTGTGCTTTCCTTAATTATAAGGACAGCTGAGAGATCAGGGATTGAATCTCTTCTTCGTCGTCCAATGTCGACAAAGATAAATGCAATACTTTCATACATTGTTTGATTGCTTGAGCAAGGTGGGAAAGGAAAATATATATTATATTTTATGTTCTTGTTTCTGCTTATGTATGATTAATAATATTATACATAGGCAATAATCATAACATGAAGCTAACCTGTTTCCCCACTTAGCATGCAGTTCCATGATCAAGAGCTGTTCTTCAGGTGTAATATTCCCTCGTCGAAGGTCGGGCCGCAAGTAGTTGAGCCAACGGAGCCGGCAACTCTTTCCTGTACGTTTCAGACCTACAATTAGGTCATGAAACAAAAACATAGTCTTTGTTACTAGGGTTTCTCTTAAAAGACCGTCAGGAAAAAAAAATTTTAAAAAAAAAACCTGGAATGATGAATTATTAGTAAAAGAAAAATTAATAAGATGTATTAGAAACAATACCTGATCACATAAGTTTATTGTGGCTGGGACTATATTACCTCGTTCATTACGTCGAGTTTCTCTGTTGGCGCTAACTTCTCTCACTATGTTACAAACATTCTATTCTTGGTTTTCTTTTTCATTTTTTTTTCTTTTAAAGAGAATTTTTATAATTGAATCTTTGTGTCTTTTAGAAAGCCATTTTCTTGTTGCCCATCTTAAATAATTTATTTTTTCACTCTTTACAAAATTACGATCTCATTTTAACCCAAAAAATAGAAAGGAAAAACAGAGAGGAAAAGAAGAGATCATCGGTGCCACAGATTACCTGCATCTTTAGCAAGCGAGTTCCATACACCTTCACCGTGGTTCGCGATGTGGTTGGTTAAGATCAAGTCTTCTTCCAGGGTCCATGGCCCTTTTCTTATTTCAACATCCTGAGAGTTGGATGGTGTTTTATCCATTTCGTATTTCTTGGAGAGAGAGAGAGAGAGAGCTGAAAAGGTGAGATAATGAGATAACGAAGGCTGCTATGGGCGGGCTTTATAGAGCCAATCTAAGTTAATATTTACATTATCTAGTAATCGACATTAATCTGTGATACAGAAGGGAGCCTTCGACCTAACCATGTTCTCAATAACAAATGCATGCGTACATATATATGATATCGGCATGCATGCATGGCCACATCTTATTTGCTTATTTTTATTTTTATTTTAGTTATATTAGAAAGACGACCGCGATACGCCGTCAGCTCCAAAGCACAAGACATACTCGGTTAAATTATATCAAGGAAAATAAAACGAAAAGTTGAAGAATGCATTAATGTATAATATATATCCGAAACAAAAACAAGAGGATTCCTTGCACTCCCTCCAACGAATCGGGTCTCCCTTTGACCTTCTGAGTTCAATAAATTAAAAGAAGGTGGCAGATTTACCTCACTTGAGAGAACACTATTACGACCAGCGGCTTTAAGGGTCACCAACTTTAACAAAAATAATCAAATAAATAAAGATAAAATTAAAGACAAAGATTAGTAAAAAGAACATTACTATCTATAGTTCAATTTTGCTAATGATCTTCCCGAGACGTAGTTATTCAGTTCCAAAGTCATTTTGTACCTAAGAGCCACAACCAGAATTTTGCATAAAACCAGTATTTAAAAACTGATTCTACCAATAAAATATTTTCCAATAGAATAATGGATGGTAAATGATCATCAAAAAATCTATGTAGGTGATTTATATTATACCAATTATTTTGTGAGTTAAAAGTATTGTCAAAGTATTTTGTAAGTTAAAAGTATTGTTAAAGTATAGGTGACACTATAATCACTTGGATTTTTAGTTGTAAACTTTTGTGTGGTCTCATCTTATTAGGTTATGATTTTAATCCCATGAAGGAGACCCAGTAGTTTTTTACCTTGAGCTCATAAGAAAGGTCTTTAAAGTTTCAATCATGAGCCTATAATCAAAAAGATTGGTTAGGTTATGATTTTAATACAAAAAAAATTATCATGTAAGTGAAGGTTTGAATCTTGAACCTTTGAAAAAAAAAATTGATTATAAAGGGTGAGGAAGTAGGTCGTGCGTCATAGAAAAGGCCCAAGCTTCTTCATTTTTTTTTAATTAAAGATTAGAGTGAGTAGTTAGTGTCAAACCACTAAATGTATTTATTTGGTGGCTTGAGATTATAAAGTGTTCCGTGGGTGTTGTTAAGTTTTTGAGTTAGCTTAGAAAGAATAAAAAGTTAGGCTAGTTTTTGTAATACTTAATTCACCCCTTCTCTTGGATACTGGGTGGGGTGTTTTTATTTGATACCAGAGTAATTGCTCTTTGTTATGATTTAACTATCAAAAGTTAAGATCATAGAACTTAAACGGCAAGATTCTTTCTTTAAAAAGAATAATTATACATGGTGATTAAAATATTAGGATGAGAATATTTATTGTGACCTTAGATATATATTGGATATTAAGATATGGGATATTACATAGAAAAGGGATAATATTAAACCTTATAAAGTTGTAAATGGGATAAAATATCTTAAGTCAAAATATGATTGGCATGAGCATGATAAGAGACAATTTAGGTTGAATATTAGCACTACATAAATTTATAAGATTCTCTAGATAACCATATTTTTAGTAAGGTTTTTATTTGCTGATTAATACTTAAAAGTGCATTTTTATCAAGGTTTTATATCATTATTTTGCACTTGAAGTATCAATAACTCCTTAACTAAAATATGTTTTGTAATAATATATCTAATAATATAAAATACCTTTAATTT